CACTTCTAAAGTTTACTCGTTAGGACAACACCGTAGAGAAAACGAAACGAAACGAAAGATAGATCCTATCATCTCATTGCATGTGATTGTTGCATTTAACCCCAATAGTGGGTCACTTACTGAGTATTTCTTTAAATACTCAAGCCATGTGCTACTACATTTTTCAGGTTAAGGCAAGGCATTCCTATACGGCTGACGACGGCATCACAACTCGAGACCATGACACATGCATACGATAATGGTATTTATTTTCTTAAACTTAGGCTAGAATAGGATGTTTTTAACGTAAACTCTTACTCATGTTATTTAGTCTTTTGTTGTGTCGTTTTAAAGATGTTTTCGAAACACGTAAGTCCGTGTTTTAAGATAAAGGTTATTGTTAAGGATAGTTGACCGTTCACTGTAAGGCAAATATCTAGATATTTGCCTTACATTACGGGTTACCATATTTGCCCTCTTATTAAAGGCAAATATATTGCATTCATTTATTATTCTTTTCTTTTATTACTATTTCCATAATATTTGTAATTTACCATATTTCTGTATCCTGAAAATGATTATAAATAAGAGAACTCTCACCCCCATTTAGGTGTGGTGATTCAGCAAACATTCACATGGTATCAGAGCCCTTTCGGTTTAACAACCCTGATCCTTTCTTCTCTATGGCTTCCAAATCTTCTTATCATCTTCTTCCTTTCAATACTCCAATCCATATGATCACCATCAAACTTTCTTCCTCCAATTATCTTCTTTGGAAAAGCCAACTTCTCCCTCTCCTTGAGAGTCAAGACATGCTGGGCTATGTCGATGGAACTATGGTTCCACCACCTCGGTTTGAACCAGAAACCTCTTCAACACTCAACCCCAAATATTTGGCATGGAGAGCAGCCGATCAACGACTTCTCTGTCTCCTGCTCTTCTCTCTCACTGAGGAAGCCATGGCTGTTGTCGTTGGTCTCCCTACTGCACGTGATGTTTGGCTTGCGTTGGAAACTACGTTCAGCCATCAGTCGAAAGCTCGTGAACTGAGACTCAAGGATGACTTGCAGTTGATGAAACGTGGCACCAAACCTGTTGCTGAGTATGCCCGTGCCTTCAAAAAAATTTGTGACCAACTTCATGCCATTGGCAGACCGGTCGAGGACATTGATAAAGTGCACTGGTTCCTTCGTGGACTCGGCACCGAATTTTCAGCTTTTTCTACTGCTCAGATGGCTCTTACCTCTATCCCCTGTTTTGCAGATTTAGTCTCTAAAGCTGAAAGTTTTGAGTTGTTTCAGCTCTCCCTTGAGTCCTCTAACTCCACTCCTACAGCATTCACAGTCACTAATCGTGGTCGCACCCATGGAAGCCACCCTGCTTCCTTTACCAACCAGCGAGGTCGTTCTTATTCTCACAAAAATAACTCTTCTAATCGAGGACGAACCCACTCAAGTCAAGGTCGTCGACCACCTCACTGCCAAATATGCCGCAAAGAGGGCCATTATGCTGACTGCTGCAACCAACGGTATGTTCGACCTGATTCTTCTCATGCTCACCTTGCTGAAGCCTTTAACACGTCATGTTCTATTGCTGGACCCGATACTGCTGATTGGTTTCTGGACACTAGAGCTTCGGCCCATATGACTGCCGACCCATCTATTTTGGATCAGTCTAAAAATTACACGGGTAAGGACTGTGATTGTAGGAAACGGTGCATCCCTACCCATTACCCACACCGGTACTCTTTCTCCTGTTCCAAATATTCACTTGTTAGATGTCTTGGTTGTCCCTCACCTCACTAAAAATCTTCTTTCCATAAGTAAATTAACGTCTGATTTTCCTCTCTCCGTTACATTTACTAATAATCTTATTACTATCCAGAATCGTCAAACAGGAAGGGTGGTGGCAACCGGTAAAAGAGATGGAGGGCTATATGTGCTGGAGCGCGACAACTCTGCTTTTATTTCAGCCCTTAGAAACAAATCTTTACGTGCTTCATATGATTTATGGCATGCTCGTCTAGGTCATGTGAATCATTCTGTTATTTCTTTTTTAAATAGAAAAGGTCATCTTTCTCTTACGTCTTTATTGCCTTCTCCATCATTATGTAATACCTGTCAGCTTGCGAAAAGCCATCGATTGCCTTATTCCCACAATGAACGTAGGTCGTCTCATGTGTTAGATCTTATTCATTGTGATCTTTGGGGTCCTTCTCCCGTCAAATCAAATTCGGGTTTCCTTTATTATGTTATTTTTATTGATGATTATTCTCGATTCACTTGGTTTTACCCTTTAAAATTTAAATCTGATTTTTTTGATATTTTTCTTCAATTTCAAAAATTTGTGGAAAATCAATATTCTTCTCGTATTAAGGTATTTCAAAGCGATGGTGGTACCGAATTTACTAGTACTTGTTTCAAAACTCATTTACGTAATTCTGGCATCCACCATCAACTCTCTTGTCCATATACACCTGCTCAAAATGGTCGTACTGAGAGAAAACATCGTCATGTGACTGAGACTGGCTTGGCCCTTCTCTTTCACTCTCATCTTTCTTCTCGTTTTTGGGTTGACGCCTTCAGCACTGCAGCTTATATTATCAACCGGTTGCCTACTCCACTTCTTGGAGGTAAGTCACCCTTTGAACTCCTTTATGGCTACACTCCACATTATGACAATTTTCATCCCTTTGGTTGTCGTGTTTATCCTTATTTGCGTGATTATATGCCTAACAAGCTTTCTCCCCCCAGCATTCCTTTTATTTTTTTGGGTTATAGTCCTGCTCATAAAGGGTTTCGTTGTCTTGATCCGGCCACCACTAAGCTATATATCACCTGTCATGCTCAATTTGATGAAACCCATTTTCCTGCTATCCCTAGCTCCCAGACCCAACCTCTTTCCTCTATTCCTATTTCAAATTTCTTAGAACCA